CTTCTTTCGAACATTATAAACTGAAGCTCGATTTGCAATTAAAAAGTCCATGCCCAAAATAATGATTCGCCTATTGGCGTACCATTACCAAACAATTGCCTAAAGATTCTAGCTTTTAATTCACATATATAGTAAGTGTAAATGAAATAAATGAGTGTGTAGATCCAAGATCAATCAAAATATGAACATCTTGATCAAAAATAGATAACATACCCATATTAATATCTGGTGACTCCTCTACTGCCTGCTGAGTCATGCAAATACTTTGCTCTAGGTCTTCGGTCATCCTGTTGGGCCTTTAAGGTTATTACCACTACCATTTGTAATATTGGACCGACTGCACTATTTGTACTTGCTTTTAGCCGAAGCATCTCCCTGAATTTGATTATGTCTTGTATTAACAGCACTCTATTGGGTAAATATCTTCTGTGATATGCCATTTTCTCGTAGTAAAATCAGACCAATTTCTTCCAATGTGTCTACTTTGGTCGCAATGATTAAAAAAAAAAAACCAACCTCTTTGAACTATAAACACTTGCGAAGATGAGGACTTCCACATAACTGACAACAAGGAAACTAATACTGCTAGAATCCCACCCTCGTTCAGAGTAAATAATATCAAAGAAGAACCATGAGTACGAGAATGGCTGGTTAATGGCTACTACACAGTACTGTAACTGAATTGGGGACCTTGACTTCCTCGTTATTTGGGCTTGGAATGACCTAAACTAGACTCACCAGGTCAAAATCCTCTAATGACCTCCTGTGTGGTCTATAGATATACTCACCAATGTCTGACTATATCTTGTTCTGGGCTTTGTCTGTTATCTACCAATCGGTCTATAGAAATACTCTTCTCTACTCTCAAAGCTGGTTCAATCTATTTGCCAAATTCTTTCCAATTGGAGGCTGTCACTGCTCATCTAATTTCCTTTCTTAACCTATTTTCAAACCTCTACATTTATCAGTTTCATTGCTAACCAGAACTTGAGCGTGATTTAAAAGTTCAATAAATTTCACCTAATATTCTACAACAATCATCTGCCCTTGTACCAACTTCAAAAGTTCTCCTGCTTTGCATCTTTATAAGAACAAGGGTAATAAGCATCATAAAAGATTACATTTGAAATCTACCCAAGTGATAATATGAAGGTCTTGATATGTGCTCTGTACTGACTACCACCAAACATATGCACCCTCCTTTAACAAAAAAGTGGAGAAACACCTATAATGCTAAATACCCTCTCTATCTTGATCATCCATACCTAAGAAACTGCAGGATGAGCTATGCCTGTGAAAAGTCCAAACCCTAATTTGTAGCCTTTTTAATACTAAAATCTCTTTCTATACTGTGCATGGTTGAAGCAATAGTAGTAACAATTATTTCAACAGTAGTTAGATCATTTCCGATTACATTTCTCTATCCCAAGTATTAAGAAGGTTTATGAATTGATTCATCTATCCTCTTAATCTCTCTAAGTTCATCTTTATCAGGAGCAATGTAGGACTGGGGCAACATATCGTGGAGCCTTTGAGTTCTGCAGTCATGAGACATGACTCACCTACAGTTATGCATGATATGTTAAAACATTAGAATGCATGTACAATATAAGCCCATTAACTCTAAACAATGCTCTGATACCAAACTAACATGCCCTACTTCGAATAATGGTAGTTGTCTCAGAATGTGATGTACGCCGATGATAGATACTAACTAAAAGTTTGATACATCATCAAGGCTACTACAATGTACAACTTTTAAGATTATTTTTAATAAAATTTTGGCATTTTCTTCCATATAAATAGAACTAACCAAATTGTAATCTACTATGTACTAATTCCAACAATATTTCAACACAATAGAAAAAAGCTGAATTTTCAAACTTTACTATGAAAATAACACAAAATATAAATATGGATGCAGAATACATAGTGAGCCCATCCAACTATCTACAAGCGATGTAAAATGATATCCACAAATGAATATGTGTTCCAAAATACTGATTGCATGCTCTATAAAATGAGTCATACTAGCTAACTCTATCATGTGGCTCTGACTCGCAAAATTAAGGTTCAACTTAAAAAGATACCCAAAAACTCAATTGCTATCCGATAAGAATAATTGTGAGAAAATATTTGAGTTAATAGCTTCATGAGTGGAGATGCTCGAAAATAATAAAATTTGTTCATTTATAAATTTTTATCAAAAATTGAATTTACATTATTTAACAGTTCATAGCATAACAACATATAATAACAATCAAGATGGGAAACATCTCAAGTCATGATATAATTATTAACTGAAATCTATACCATCATTTCATTACATCAAATGTACTGAAAAATCATCTAAAATGTACCTTCTAACTGAAATCTGTAATATTATCATGCACTTGTAGACTGCCATCTAGCTAAGTACTCCCGACATGGGCCTCAAGCCCCCTCAATGGAAGAAATTAGGTCTCAAAAACCTCTCATAATCAATTCTAGAACATGGCCAAAACCCCTTAGTGAATTATATGTACACAGTTAATACCCTTTCATCCACGGTTAAGACCCCTTCTTGTAGGATAAAACATAGCCAAGGCCTCTCAGTGAATTAGAAAAAGTATATAATCATGGGTAATTTTTTGGTCGATCTCAATATCATATATGTCTCACATTCCAATTCACAAATAATCTATATACAATCCTTGAAATTTCACAGGTATCATAGTAAAAGAAACTTTCCATGAAAAATTATGTAATCGAACAAATAATTGCACATAACATAAAAGTATAATTGAGTTATCAATAATTAAAAATATTTAAACTTTTCCAGTCATAAATCTATGTACATAAAGTCAACTTGGTTGGAATGCTATCCCGATATCCATATAACTACCTGAAATATGATGTATTGTTCAGATTAACAGTTAACTATCTTAAGTAATTCTACTAATTAGATAGGAGATACCAAAACTTAATCTTTTCATATTAATTAATCACATAAGCTAATTTTTCTTTAATTTCACTTAATTACATAGCTTATTGCACTTATTTCAATAGTTTCACTTCAATAAAATTGAGTGTAATTAATAATTCTACAATCTTAAAATTTAACATAACTTTCAGTAAATTTTTACTTACCTTTTGAAATTGAAGAATTCAAACTTAATAGCATTAAGCACCTTCTAATCACGTTGGCGAGTTTTCTATTTTTTCCTTTTCTTTTCTTCTTCCTTCCTTTCTTCTTCTTCCTCTTTTCTTTCTTCCTTTCGAAAAATTTAATTTAATGTAATGAGAAATAATGGAGCTCAAACGGGGGCTAAGATGCATTAGCCCACAGCCTAACTTTTCAATTTGGTTGGTTTTCACATTTTTTAATAGCATGACATCTTTTACTCAATTTCTTAGTTTGACTATTATAACTTATTTTATTATTTTTAATTTAACTAGGTTATTACCGACCCTACACCCTTTTTTGATAGAGATTAGAATAGTCAATAATTAATTTTAATCATATATTTTATTTGGCTTAACTTTTTAATTACACATTTCATCAATTTTTATAAGAAATCTATTAAAAATTTGATTTTAATCCCCACTAAATAGAGCTGCATACTTTGCTAAGTTTAAAAGTAATTCATTTTTTTTTAATTTATAAGTATGTTTTCATATATTACTTATTCATACTTATAAGAACAATTACTCGTTTTAATCATGAAATAGATGTTATGAACAAAATAAATAACTTGTTCTAAATTTGATCTTATCAGTCAAAACAATATTTGTTAAAATTTATTTATTTATATATTAATCTATGCATAAGTATATATTCTTGAAATTGAGCCAAGCATGGATATTAATTAAATCTAATTTCTTTGGACCTTCATAATTTTAATCAATTTTTCTCACTTTGGATATGATTCGTCACTAATAGAAGATTATTGTAAGCACCAAATGGTATTTTGAGACAATAACATTTATTGATGTATTATTGAACACGTGTTTTCGACCAAAGCTTTCAGTTGTTTGAAAGATTGATTGCCGAAGTTATTGAGAATAGTATTCAATAAATAATTTCATAGTTTTTCATTGGTTAATATGTATCCTTTGCTTATTTCGATCATGATTCAGTCAGTTTATATTTTTAAGGTAGGCATCGATTTTCTATTTGCCAAATCATAAAAAGATCTAGTGGGACATCTTAGAGTTAGACATCTAGACTTTTTTATTTCATTAAGTGTCATACACTCTTTGTCGTGAATGTCATGAGTTTAGCCTCTTGTGGAGCAAGTTCATTCAAAATTATTTAAATTTCAACACATTCTAACATCATTTTTAGGTTCCATCCCGACTTCGATGGTCAAGTCATCAGCTAGTTTAAGTATATTTGGGTGTGGGACGTACGAGAGGCGCAACTCCTAACTCACTAATTCTCATAACAGTAAGTCGAGTGAGAACACCTAAGCCCTTTATTAGTGATGGTTGATCCTACCATTCCTTCGAGTGCCTTTTGCGTTTAGCGTCGGAAAGAGGTGCTTCTAGCTTCCTTTATTTATATCCATACCATGTTTGGACAGGTACTTTGGTCTAGACATCCCCACATGATTGGAGATGGAGTCACGATGAAAAAAGGAATATTTGATTCATCCCAACTTGTTCTTCAAAATAAATAAAAAATATATACAATTTCAATACCCCAACTTGGCATAATATATTACTATCTAAGTGGGTAGTATGCACATGATTTTAAATTCAAGGCACTGTATCTAACAACCATTCTTCAAAGTCATTATATAATACTAGTCAAGGTTCCGGCCATTTAAATATTAATCCAACTGGCCCTTATCTTTGATTAACATATAAGCAACCACCACACCAAATTAGCCGTTGAAGCAACTTAATAAATTATTTTTTAAGTTAGATTGTTTATTCCAAGTTGTTATACAAAAGCAAGATATATATTTTTTTGATGATTTTTCTCCTATATTAACTATAGCTGGCATTTTCAAAGTGTCATATATTACTGTTTTCCAATCTCACTCCTCTGTTCATTCTTTTTCTCTATTTCTTCATCCTCCCATCCGAAAGAGTTTTGGATAGAATCGTGTAGACAATATCCACGGCAAAAGCTTGATCCTTTGTAATTTGATGGCCGATCTCACTTCCAGGGATTTGACATTGCCTCAACCTGATTGTGAAGGAGGGGGTGAAATTGAAGCTGTTGCACCTGATTATACCGAGATTATTGTTATTCGTCATGGTCAAACTGAGTGGAATGCTAATAGAAGAATTCAGGGCCAGCTTGATGTGGACTTAAATGATGTTGGGAGGAAGCAAGCGGCTGCAGTGGCTGGGCGACTATCAAAGGAACCTAAAATATCTGCAGTATACTCATCGGACTTGAAACGAGCGTATGATACAGCCGAGATGATAGCAAATTGCTGTGGGGTGTCTGACGTTTTTAAAGATCGAAACTTGAGGGAGAGGCATATGGGTGATCTTCATGGCGTTGTGTTCCACGAAGCAGCCAAAATCAGACCTGAGGCTCACAAAGCATTTTTATCTCGTAGTAGGGATCAAGAAATTCCTGTGGGTGGGGAAAGTCTTAATCAACTTTCTGAACGCTGTATATCAGCATTAGAAAGAATCGCGAAGAAACACAGAGGCGAACGAGTAATTGTAGTCACGCATGGGGCTACCATTGAAGAACTTCATAGACGGGGCTCAAATGGGATGTCCACTGACTACGTTCCTAATACTTCTGTTAATGTTTTTCACTTGTTCGAAGAGGATAAATGGAGCATTAAATCGTGGGGCGATGTGAGTCATCTCGATGGCCTATTCGGAAGCAATGGAATAGCATAAGGTTTGAAGAAGTGATTCAGTGGTTTGAGGTAGGAAGAAGTTTGCCGCATTTTCGCCTTCGTATGGGAAGAATTTATAAATGGACAAAAATGAGTGGTAGTAGATAAGTTAATACTATTTGTTGATCTATTCAAATGTGTAGTTGAAAATGAAGTTTGATAACATTAATATTTGACTAATAAAAGGGACCATTGTTCCTTATAGAGATCATTTTATCTACCATTGTGGGACAAATGACTTCATTCACCCACAAATATCAAATTTCAATGTCATCAATAATTCTGAAATTTAAATGGCTCATTCCGATCTCAATTTCACATTAACTTGAAATTGGTTTTGAGAAACCAAATATATTACGATCATCACGGAAGATACCAGATTGTTGAATTTGAACTCAAAAAATTAAAATATAACTTTATTTATGAAATGCACTTTACACAATTTTGGACACACAAGGCCACTAGTAATATCATACAATCAAATTTAATCCTCACTCCTCTAGACACACACGGCTGTGTGCTTTCTCTCTTATCACGCTGTCTCTATCGTTCTTAATTCCCTCTACGCACTCAAGTCACTTCACAAAATGCAAAGGCTAAACACATATATATACACTAAGCTATTATCGGTGGAGACTTCAAAATTCTAGATAAATCCTTCAATGGTGGTGGAGGCTAGAAAGCTCTAGAATGGAGGTGAATTTTTCTTTCTTCTTCAAGAGTTGGTTGCAAGTGGAAAAATTTAGAATCTTCTCAAAAGTCGGTGATGATCTTCAACAGATTGGACCTTAAACCTCCCATAATCAAGTAAAAGGTCCAGCATATATAATTATCCGAAGTATGTCGACACAAACTTCTTCAAATAATTCCAGCTCCACAAAACTTTGAATCTCTCAATACATTATCCATGTTTTGGGACCTGTCATTGGTGTAGAGTATTTTGTGCTCATTTAATATTATGCCGTTGAGACGACCCTTTGGTTGCGAAGAGATAATGTATCACAATTGTGTTCTACGTCGAGACATGAATATTTATATAATGCGTAGATTTGTCGTGTTAATGGTATAAGGTGATATTTTGTGATAATTTTGCAAACATATTAGATGTGTAAGCAAGGCCCTACATAAGGGCAAACTTCTGAAATTTGGTAGCTTTTGATAAAGTTGAATCAGTTGATAAGGTTGACAGGTTTTGATAAAAATTGTAGTGGTTGATGAAGCGAGGTTCGACATGAAGCAAGTTTATGAGATTTGGCAACTTTTGATAAAAAAACTAAACTATTTAATGAGATGAGTCCCAACGTGAAGGCAAGCCTATGAAGGAGATACGATGTTAGTAAAATTAATTTGAGGCAGAGGTAAGTTGTTGACACGATAAGATTTTGATGAGATGTATGACATATGATTTGAGATGTTGCCCAACACGAAAGGTCCCGATTTATTCTATGGACCCGACATGTGATATACGTCGATGGTAGATACAAGTTAAGTGCTGGATCCACCACCTAAGCAACTTTGACCTGCTTTGATCGTGAAATATTTTTATAAAAATAATTTTGACAAAGTTTTCTTTACAATTGGAACTAATTCTACTTTCTAATACCTTCACAAATATGTACTATATCCGAATTTACCTTCATTCCAATCACTGAAGTAATCACGCCTTCCAATCTAATAACAATTAGTAACCATAATTCCACCAACTTTATTTTCATCTTTTCCATGAATTCATGCTTTCATCTGAGTAACTCTATCAAAATAATCATTTTCACCGAGCATTCTTGCTTAAGAACCTAATTAAAAATTCTAGGGTTTGCTATAATTGCTTACCTCGATTCAAATGGAAATTTATCAATCAGGTGACTTGAACAAAAAAGTATACTCTTTTCACTTATCTAAAAATTAAACCAACAAATTAAACTAGCTACTTAGAACCCATATAGCATTATGTCATTTTGCTGATTTCGAAAATCCTACCACAAAGTCTATTGCGATATTCTCCCATTTCCACTAAGGTATGTCCAATGGATTTAACAATCCTGTTGGTTTTTTGTGTTACGCTTTAGCTTGTTGACACACTATGCATTTTGTCATAAATAGACCTATACTTCTTTTCATATTTGTCCACCAAAAAATATCTCAAAGGTCTCGACACATTTTCATACCACCAAGTTGTGCGGTGTATCAGGTGAAATAAGCCTCTTTCAATATCTCATTCCTCAAAAGTTCATCCTTAGGCACACATATTAATCCTTTAAACATTAGTGTTTGATCCGAAGCTATTCCAAAATCTTTTTTCTTATCAGCACTAATATCGTTCTTGATCTTCTGTAAGAATAGATTTTTACCCTGTACTTCTATGATCCGATCTCTAAGAGTAAGTCGAACTACCAAAGTGCTAAACGAGTGGTTATTTTCTTAGGCATGGTAACTACTTCAATTCGCAACTTTTTCAAGTCTTTGACAACTCCATCTCAATAGTAGGAAATGATGCCAACTATCTCATCAACTTTCTATTTAGAGTATCAACAACAACATTAGCCTTGTCTGGATGGTAATGAATAATGCAATTATAATCATTTACTAGTTTCAACCATCGTCTCTATCTCACATTCAATTCCTTCTGTGTGGAGAAATATTTGAGACTCTTGTGATCCATGTAAATGTCGTACTTCCTTCCATATAAGAATGGTGACATTTTTTTAATGCATGAACTACCGCCACAAATTCTAGAGCATGCGTCGGATAATTTTACTCATGTTGCTTCAATTACCTTGATGCATAGGCAATTACTTTTCCGTGCTACGTCAATACATATCTGAAACCATGTTTAGATACATTACTACATATAACAAACCCATCTGAACTTTCGGGTATGGTTAACACATGTGCTATAATCAATCGTTGCTTTAGCTCTTGAAAACTTTGCTTACACTTATATTTCTATTGAAACTTTACTATTTTCCTTGTCAATTACATCATTGGTTAGATGCTTTGGAGAATCCTTTGATAAATCTACGATAATACCCGATCAATTGTAGAAAATTTCGAACTTCAATAGTGTTAGTCGCTATATTCCAATTTGTTACCGCTTCTACTTTTATTGGATCTACTGCAATTCTATGAAAAGTAACTACATTACCAAAAGATTCCAAATTGCTCAAGTCAAAATTCACACTCTATAAATTTGTCATATAATTTTTCCTTGCGCAATATTTCTAATGTTATTGTAAGATGTTCCTTATGCTAATCGTAATATTGAAGTATATCAAAATGTCATGAATAAAAACTATGATAAATTGATCCAAATATTGATGAAATAAAAGATTTATTAAATCTATAAACACTGTTGGGGCATTTGTCAAACCAAACGGAATAATTGTGAACTTGTAATGTCCATAACGAGTTCTAAAAGCCGTCTTGAGTATATCACTAGCCTTAACCTTCAACTGATGATATCCAGATCATAAATTGATTTTGAAAAATACATTATCCCCCTTTTATTGACCAAATAAATCATCGATTTTCAGGAGAGGATACCAAATCTTGATAGTGAAATGGTTCAACTTCCTCATAATTCCATCTTTCTTCGTTACGAACAACACTGGTGCACCCCATGGAGATATACCTGGTCGAATAAAGCTACTGTCTAACAATTCTTGTAACTGAATTTTCAACTCCTAAAGTTCCTTTGGAGCCATTTGTTGGACGAAATTTCAAATATTAAAATATAGAAATCGTTACAAATTGTATTTTGATAAACACAAGTGATGTTGAACTTCTTGTAATTGTAAATTTGCAAAAATTCTCTGATTAATGATCTAAATATTTGAAGACGAGGAGCCATGTGGACTGAATATTGGTCTTCGAGAATTTGTTGAAAATTTGATTTGTCGAGACTTGACTTGTTCAGAACTTGAATCTTAAGGCTTGGACTTGAATTTGATTTGATTTGAAGAAGGTTTTGATCTTCCTGGACTTGGCGTGAACCTGTTTGATTCAAAGAAGATTTTTTGATTTTCTTAGGGTTCACTGAGTTTAGATTTGAGAGAATTTATTCCCTTCTTCCAATCTTGGAATTTCTTTAACACTTCGTGGCATTCTCTAATTTCTTTTTTGCTTTGCTTTTACCTCCTCCTCCTTGTAGTATGGACCATTGGTCCTATATATAAGGGAAAATTTGTGCTAATTTCGATAATTACTCAATTAGATTTAATTAAAATGAATAATTGAGTAATTATAATTTATTTATTTGTTTATTTATTTGTTTCTTTATTTTAAAATGTGATATGGGTCTTTGGATTTTATGAACTTTAGTGGATTTCAATTAATTGAGCTAATGATTTAAATTGACACAATTCATTTTATTTTTTATGTCTACAAATACCCCCTTAAAATTTATTTATTTATTATGAAATTAATTAATTAATAAATCTTGATTCTCGATTTTTTTTTTTTAAATTTAGGATTTGATTTGAACTCAAACTTCCCATTCAGATGAAAATTTTGAGAATGAATTTAATAAAATTCTTACCTTTCGGATTAGAGAATAAGAATTTTTTTATGGTCGAATTTCGATTATTTATTTATTTATTTTATACGACCCATAACAAACTTGATTTGAATAGACTTTTTATGTTTTATGGTAAATTGAGCTGAAGTGAAGTCCATTATCCTCCTATTTATACGAAAGAATTATGAGACTTGGGAACATGTTTGTTAAATCTTGCAAACAGATGTAAAAAGATTTTTTTTTTTTTATCTCTCTCTCTCTTTTAAAATTCTTATTCTTGGTTTCTGGTGGCTGTAGAAACAAGAATTGGTTTCCGCCGCCGCAGAAACCAAGGAACCAATTGATTGTAGTAGAACAATAAGGCCCGTTTGATTGCATGAAATTTTCCATGGAACTTGGAATTCGAATTCCAACTTCCACTTTTGGCCTGTTTGATTGATAAAATTTTCCAGGGAGATGATTTTCCATGAATTTCTAGGTACAACACCTTAAAACGTGATTTTCCACCTTTTATTTTCCTAGGGGTAGCTGGTTTATGGTTTTCCATCTTTTTTTTTTTTTTTTTTTTTTTTTTTTTTTTTAATTGTTGGTAATGAGAACAAATTCTAGGAATATTTGTAGAAGAGGATATCTCTGAAATTGACAATTTTCATGTAAAACAAAGTCAAACGAACACCAAAATATAGGTG